AAGGTTTGCCCCCAAGGCGGCCTCATGTGCCCCCAGGTGGGCCCCAAATCGGCCCAAGAGGGCCCCAAGACTGCCCAAGAGGGGCCCCAGGACGGCCAAAGGCTTCCAAGACGCCCCACGACGGCCCAACGGGGCCTCAAGACGGACCACGGGGGCGTCAAGACGCCCCTAGAGGCCCAAGAGGGAACCCCAGCAAGGCTCGGAGGCGCCGAGCAAAATGGGTCCCGAAGAGCCCACTGTGACGCAACACACCCTTCACACCAAGGCTCCGAACAGCCAGCGGTGCCGTAACAACTCACAGCACCAAGGCTCCCAACAGCGAGCGGTGATTTAAAAAGCTCGTAACACCAAGGCTCCCCAGATTACGCACTGACGTGGCAGGCTCTGAATACCGAGACTTCCAAGAGCGAGCGGTATCGTAAGAAGCTGGCTGATCATAACGAGGCTCCCAAGAGCGAACGTTGACGTCTACAGCTCTTACCATCAAGGCTGCCAAGGCGAGTGGCAACGACACAAACTCTCAACACTATGGCTCCCAACAGCGAACGGTGACGCAGAAAGCTCTCAACATCAAGTCTCAGGCGCGATCCTCGTTTGTGAGTGAATTTCGAGGACGTCTCAGGCGGGAGCCCCCACCTTACGGGGCTTGCAGCTCATGTTATGGTTCGGAGCGGGCCTCCAGATTATTGGAATTGTTATGCTTACTGGTTTTATGAAGCTTGAGTAGTGAGCAAGTCTCTGACGGGAACGTCGTTTGTGACTGACTGGCGAGGAAGTCAAGGGCGGGTGCCCCATCCCTGTTGAACCCGCAATTAATATTACGATTCCGATCGGGTCATCGGATCATTGTAATCATCGAAGCGTTTGGACTCCTCCGTCTTGAATGTGGCAGATGTTTCGAGCGGGCGCCTCGCTTGTGAGCGTGCTGCGACGAGGTCTAAGGCGGAAGTCCCTCCCCGATGGGGCCCGCAGCTCATGCTATTATTCCGCGCGGGCCAGCGGATTCTTGGAATTGTCGCCGCTTCTGGGGGCATAAAGTTTGAAATTGGAGGAGGCCTCAAGCGGGAGCGTCGTCTGTGGGTGTGTGAGCGAGAAAGTCTTAGGAGGGAGCCCCTTCCCTATGGGGCCCGCATTTTATGTTACCAAGCCGAGTGGGTCATCGGATTGTTTCAACATTCGCCACTCTTGGGATCATCGAGCTTGAATTTGGAGGCAGTCTCGAGCGGGAGCCTCGTTTGTGAGTACATTGCGAGGAAGTCTTAGCCGGGAGCCCCTGTTATTATCCCCGCCGGGGCATCATGTTCTCATAAGTAGCGTAGTTTTTGGGCTCCTTAATCTTGGATTTTGCGGGAGTCTTGAGCGGGAGCCTCGTTTGTAAGTGTGTTGCGATGAAGTCTCTGGCGGGAGCCCCCTCCCCATGGGGCCCTCGAGTCATGTTATTAGTCCGACCGGGTCATCGGAACCCTGCAACCGTCGTCGCGTTTGGGTTCTCGAAGCTTGAGTATTGAAGCAGTGGCAGGCGGGAGCGTCCTTCGTGATTGAATGGCGAGGAGGCCTAGCGCGGGAACCCCTTCCCCGTGGAGCCCGCAGCTCACGTTACCAATCCGAGCGGGCCATCGGAACCTTGTAACTGTCGTCAGCTCTGGTCTTCTGAAGCTTGAATTTGGCGCAGGTCTACAGCGGGAGCCTCGTCTGTGGGTGAATGGCGAGGAAGTGTATGCGGAAGGTGTTGGTCCTGCGGCCCCCCACGCGAGAGTTCCTGGATCGCGGGCCGCCGGCTTCCCTGCGGAAGGCGCTCAGAGGTTCCGAAAAGAGCGGGGAGTTCCAAGGCTGCGGCGGGGCAGGTCGCTGCAGAGTTGGGTTTCGCGCTGCCTCCAGCTCGAGCGCAGCCGCGACAAGGTCGAAACCTGCGGGGTTGTCCCAACGGTTTGTTCCCGCGCCCCATCGGCTCGTGGGGTTGTCCCCACGGCGTGGCCCACAGGATTGCCCCAGCGGCTTCGCGATCTGGCCATCGCAGAACGCGCCCGTGCTGGCCGTGGCGGCAACTGCGCCCAGGAACATCGACCTGCGCGCCCTTGCTAATGGGGCGGGGGAGGAGGTGGACGGGGGAGATGGGACAGGAGGGCGAGGAGAAGGCAGAGCAGGGGGCGCAAGGAGGGCCTCCGCCAAAGCGAACATGAGAAGGGCGACGAGGAGACGGGAAAGAGCTTTTGCATTCTGGCAGATAGGTTGGCTTCGCCTCCCCCAGCACGGGCGAATGAGGACCAGTTTCGGGTGACAGTTCAAGCGGCACGCCACTGTATATTGCACAACCTCTATTGCAAAGCATGGTTTGCACCACGTTGGCTGCACGACAGACTGTTCACTGACTGTTCACTGCGGCGCAGCATCAATAACACCACATCGTACAACACACACGGCAAACCATAAACTGTTACAGACACACTGTGTGGGGTCCACGCTGGCTAACCTGTGTCGGGCTAACATGTGTCGATCATAGTTGGAGGAGGAGGAGGAGGATACGGACGGGGAGGTAGATGATGATACGGAGGGAAAGGAGGAAGAGGCAGGAGGGGGAAAAGGAGGAAGGAGGAGTAGGAGGAGGAGGGAGAGGAGGAGGAGGAAGAGGAGGAGGAGGAGGAGGAGGAGGAAAAGGAGGAGGGAGGAACCCATGGTTCGAGCCTGTGGTGAGTGACGGTTCCCCGAAGGGCGTACGCCCTGGTGCGTACGCCTCCAATCCGATGGGGAAGGAAGAAGAGCAAAATCAGGAGGAGGAGGAGGAAAAGGATGAGGAGGATGGAGGAGGAATACGATGGGGGGAGGAAGGGGGGAGGAGAGACGGCGGGGATAAATCAGTTCCCCCGTGAAGTGATACGTCCCCCGGAAAATCTACACACTCCCCGGTGGAAGTTTCTGAAGGGCTTCTGCGGGGCTTTTGAGGAGCCTCTGAAGGGCTCCAGCGAAACTTCTGACATGTTCTTGAGGAGTCCTGGATGGTTTCCCGGGGACTTTCTGAGGTGGGTTCTGAGGAGAGGAGCTTCACATGAGCTTACGCGATGAATTCTGACATGCCTCTGAGGAACTGTTGAGAAGGTTCTGAGGAGGGTGTTGAGGAGAAGAGCCTCTGAGGGGATTATGCGAGGCTTTCGGGACGCCTTCGAGTGGCTTCTGAGACGCTTGCGAGACGCTTCTGAGGAGCCCACTGAGACGCTTTTGTACAGGTTATGAGAAGCCTTGCGCTGGACTTTGTGAGGTTTGTGAGAGACACCTGCTCAGCTTCGGAGAAATGTTGAGAAGCCTCCGAGAGGCATTTGGGTAAGCACCTCTGAGAAACCTCTGAGAGGCCCCTGGCCAACTTCTAAGAGGCCTCTAAGAGGCTTCCCGGAGAGCCTCTGAGCGAGCTTCAGGGAAGTTTCTGAGAGACCTCTGAGAGAGCTCCCGACGGGCTTCTGAGAGGCTTCTGGGAGAGTTTCTGAGAGGCTTCTGCGAGCGCTTGGAGGGAGCCTCAGTCGGCAGTGGTCAGTGGTCAATCAGATGTTGTGCTCCGTCATTCACCGTCGACAATGGCAGTCGTCAGTCCTCGTCGTCGTGCTCTCTCGCGCGCGCGCGCCGCTGCCCGGGGTGAGTGGGAGGATATGGCGGAGGAGGAGGAGGAGGAGGAGGAGGAGGAGGAGGAGGATAAGGATATGGAAGAGGAGGAGGAGGAGCAAGAGAGGAAAAGGAGGAGATTGATGGAGGTCGAGGGTGACCAGGATGAGTATGAGGATGGCAATCATAGTGACGATAATGACGCTGGTGATGCTAATGACGACGATGGTGATGATGTTGATGATGATGTTGGTGCAGATACTGACGATGATGATGACGGTGATGACGGTGATGGTGATGATGATAATGGTGATGGTGAGGATGATGATGATGATGATGATGATGATGATGACGAAGGTGGTGCTGATGATGACGACGGTGATGATGGTCATGATGATGATGATGATGATGATGATGATGATGATGATGATGATGATGATGATGATGATGATCACGACAATGGTGACGACGCTGGTTCCGACGACGACGGCAGCAACGACGATGACGACGGAGACCAGGACGATGACGACGATGAGGATGATGATTATAATGATGGTGGTGATAATGATGGAGTGGATCATGATGAGGATACTGGCGATGATGATGATGATGACGAGGAGAAGGAGGACGAGGAGTTGGACGAGGAGGAGGAGGATGATGCGGATGAGATGAGGGTGAGGGTGATGCTGAGAATGATGATAATGGTGATGGTGATGAGGATTATGATGCTGATGCTGAAGATGAGGATGATGCTGCTGCTGATGATGATGACGATGACGATGCTGACGCTGATGATGCTGATGATGGTGATGAAGCTGTCGCTGATGCTGCTGATGAAGATTATGGTGGTGGTGTCGGTGATGGTGATGGTGATGATGTTGTTGAAGATGATGATGACGATGATGGTGAGGATGACCATGATGCTCATGAGGATGATGACGATGATGATGATGATGATGATGATGATGATGATGATGATGATGATGATGATGATGGTGATGGTGATGGTGATGGTGATGATGATTGTGATGATTATTACCATGACGATGAGGATGCTGATAATAAGGTTGATGATGATGATGATGAGGAGGAGGATGAGGATGAGGATGAGGATGAGGATGAGGATGAGGATGAGGATGAGGAGGAGGAGGAGGAGGAGGAGGAGGAAGAGGATGTGGAGGAAGTGGAGGAGGAGGAGAAGGAGGAGGAGGAGGACGAGGAGGGACGACGAGGATCAGATCAGGGACGGACGAGGAGGATGGAGGTAAGTGGAGAGAGGACGAGTTAGTGAGGGAGGAGGGAAGGAGAGAGGGAGGAGGAGGGACGAGGAGGGACGAGGAGGGAGGAGGAGGAGGAGGAGGAGGAGGAGGAGGAGGAGGAGGAGGGGGAATCCGCCCCCGGCGGCCTCAGAGGACGAGAAGCAGAGCCAGAGGCTGGCCTGGCGCGGGCGCATCTCGCGCTACCTGGCCCACTGCGTGGACGGCGGGAACGCCCCCGTCGTTGGGGGTCGTCGGGACGGAGGAGAGCGGCAGCGAGCAAGGAGTGGGCGCGCCCGGGCGGCAGGCGTCGGACAGAGCATTGTGACAGGGAGGAGGAGGAGGAGGAGGAGGAGGAGGAGGAGGAGGAGAAGGAGGAGGAGGAGGATCAGTGTAAACCCAAGAGTCATCAACGAAGTTGGGATTAACCCTCCCTCCAAGCACCCTCTTCATAGGCCCCTACAACGGTTCATTTCCATAGAGGGAATGAATTGCCGCGTTGAAAGACGACCGTTTGAAGACCCTGGAGAATGCCAAAACATTGTTATCGGGATTTCAACGCCACGGATCCACTTGACTGCTGCGTCGTGACGATTTGGAAGCGTGCCAGAACGCCGTTTTGGGGATCTCAACACCGCGAATCAACATACTTGTTGCACCTGCACAGTCCTCAATCCTTCCAGAACGAAATTTCTGGTAAGCTGATCAGCGAAATTCTTGCAAATGTTGAAAGTGTGCGCGCTGCTCAGGCGAGAGCCACATTTTGAGAAGGAACCGCCCTCAATCTATGAACTTCTTGCGAATTGTTAAAGCGGATTTGCGCGGCGCTACAGCGATATCCACATGTTGAAAGCGACCCGGCCTCAATCCGTGAAATCCCTGCAAGTTTTCAACACAGATGCGCGCCGCGCTTACGCGAGAGCTTCATTTTGAAAACCACCCGCCCTCAATCCGTTAAACTCTCGCAAATGTTCAACACGAACGAGCGGCGCGCTTGGGCGAGAGCCACATTTTGAAAACGGCCCGCCCTCAATCCGTGAAGCTCGTGCGAATTTTTAGAACGAGTGTGCGGCGCGCTTGGGCGAGAGCCACGTTTGGAACACGACCCGCCTCAACCTGTGAAGCTCTTGCAAATGTTAAACACGACTGCCCGCGGCGCTGAGACAAGAGCCACATTTTGAAAACGACCCGCCCTCCATTTGTGAAACTGCTGTCACCTGTTAAGGTTCAGAATCGTACGTGGCGAGGAAGTCGCAAGCGAAACGCCCAGGAGGAGGAGAAAACCTAGGAGGGAGGAGGAGGACGAGGAGGAGGAGGAGGAGGGCGGGAGGATGCATGGAGAGTGGAGATGGATGGTCTGCACCAACACCTGAGGTCAGAGGTTCCCGAATCGGTTCGCGAGAATGTAGGTGCCTGGCTTCGTGGCCATCGCAAGTACTCCACCAGGTGTCGGATCAACGGGGACGTTGCCGCGGATGTTAACGGGATTTGGAGGGAGTTATTTCCCACAAGGAAGGGCGACATCAGTGGGAAGCGCACCTACGCTACGTTAGAGAGGCGCCCAAACATCCAGAAAATGGACAGCACGATGGGGAACCTGCGACGCTAGCGGAGCAGAAGCTCCATGGCAAGGGGCTTATTGTTAGGGCTTCCCTGGCTCCCGACACCTCCGCCTACCTGGAGGCGGAGGGGCGACAGGCCGAATACTGTAGGCACATCACGGACGGCGTTCCGCGCTCCTCGAGATGCTTATGGAGGAGGCCGCCGCGGTAGTTCTTGCCGCTACTCGTACGTGAAGGGTCTTGGGACACATGCGTGATTGGGGTCTGCGTTTTGAGACTGTGGCGTCTTGATTGGGAAGATTACACGTGCTTGTTGTAGGTCGTGCCGTCTGCGTTGTGCGGTTGCGATTAGTATGGAGATTGGGAAGCGGTATGGAGCAGCGTGTGCCGACTGGTGTGTCGTCCACGTTCGTGTGCCTGTTGTCGGAGTTGCTGGGAGTAATGTATCTTTCACAGTTGGTTTCCGACGAGTCCCATGGAGGTACTTGGAGCGGCATTGTGGTGGGGAGAGTGATTCTCTTGACCACGATGATCCTGCGGGGAGGGCTGGCACCGCCATACTCGAAAGAGGACAGATGTCGCAGCACGATGCTTGTGCTCGGCGTGTATGCGAATGTTGAGATGCCATCTCTTTCGGATGATGTTACTGGGTGCGATGTTTTGCCCGCCCTGCGACGGCATTGCCCCGGAGATGGCCTCGGCCGTCATTGATTGTCTGCGCGCAGCCTCGGGGTCGGATGTCTTGACGTACGCACACGGGTCGGTCGCACAACTCCCGGGAGCTCTTGTGGACACGCGGATGGAAACAGCTGCTCATTCTTGGATCTCGAATTGTTTACGTTGCCGTGTCCGGGGGCCTCTCTGGACAAGCGGGCCCTACGACCCTCGATGCAGCACCTGTCCGCGAGAGGGTGGATCACCGTCCGACCTGTCCAGATGTGACGCTTGAGGCGCCCCTGCGGTTTTTCTGGCTCCCGCGGAGATTCTTCATGGACGGCAACCGTCTAATGAGTTTGATGCGCATGTCTTTACACCAGCTTGAACTACAGACGCTATGCTGAGTTCTACATCACAGAATGCCGAAGGTCGCAATTGTCGCGATAGCCATGAACACCCCGTACACCACCTCACACACCCGACGTCGTGATGTTGGGGATGCTGGTCGGACCGCCAATGAAGTCAAGCGGACCTACGGGACCTCCGTGGGGATGCAATTCCAGATCATGCTCTAGGGTGGAGACGTTCCATTTGATGAGACGTAGCCAAGCTGAGGCCCATAGGAAATTGAAATCCCTGGAACCATCTCCGATGGCCAAGACGCACCTTCCACTGCAGTTGATCGTGGCAGGACATCGGCCGCAGTGGTTGGAACGTTTCGGTGGCGACCGTAAATCTCAAGAGTCCCAGGCGTGTCGACTCCAGAAGCAAATCGCACTGTACCAGGAGCAGAGCACGGAGGTAGTGGAACCGAATGACCTCGAGTTCGGGCGCCGCAAGGTGGTAAAAGCCACTGGCCCTGATGGTGTCCCCGCTGAAGTATGGACAACGTCACCGATCCAGCTTTCGACGGTTACCTGGCAGTTGTTCCAAAGACGCGCGTCTTTCAATGACGGCTTCGACCGCTCCGATTCGTGGCACATCTTGGGGTACACAACGGTGGCTCACATCGGACAGTTTCGGTGGATTGCGAAGTTTACCACCCCTACTTCAGTGGTATTTGTTAACGCTGCGACCGTCACTGCGGAGCCAAATCCGGGCAACGGCGGCGCGCGCATACGCAGTCAAGCGGGGCTTCCGAGCAAGCACTCAAGCCACATCACAGCCCTCATACGGGAAAATAAGTATTTCCAACGCATGCGAATGGTGTCACAATCTGTTCATCAGCAAACAGGATGTGATATTCGTATTCGACAGCACGGACCACGACGTAGTGACGCATTCTTTGCTCCATATAGGAGTGTCACACGGCATGTTGGGACTACCGCTGCAGGAATTCCAAGCGGCAGTAACGAGAGTTGCGATCCTTGGGGCCCCAGATGGTTTATCTTAATTATGAGCGAGGCGGTAAACAGGGAGGTGGAGATTCCCGATTGGGGGAACGCGACAGTGGAATGCGCGTCGGGCCCCGCCGTGGCCAATTGGAACGCGCAGGTTGGGGTGCCAGGTACGGGGGCAACGTCATTCACCGCGCTGCTCGGGCAGACAACATTGTTTTCCATGCCACCAACCCACCCGAGCAACTTGCAGCGCCTGGTCTCCGAGTAAGCTCCTGGCCCTTCCTGAGGCCTGGCTGGGAGGAGACCCTGGCCGTTGGTTCGGCTGGCGGGCCCCCTTTCGCACGGCGACCGCCGCGTCGCCCCGGCCCCGTCTAATACTAGCAAGCCGTTCAGCTTGAGCAACTGGGCGATCTTATCGATGACTCCGGCTCCCGATCGAAGCGTCGGGCATCTTTCGGGGCTCGGTGGCGCGGCCAACTATAGGCACCAACGCGGTGCCGCGGCGGCATTCGAGGGCGGTTGTACGGGCGGGCCTCTCCACCGCGAACTTCTGCTGCGTTCAGCAGCGAAGCGCGGTACCTCACGAGTGGGGTTCTGCACTGGCTGCGCACGTGGGAGTTGGGGCCTTTAATATGTGAGGTTCCCGGCCATCGCCGATTGGGCCGATGTTTTGCCAAATATTTTGGATGGCGCGTTACGCGCCCGACGGAAGCTAAACTGTAGATCCCCAGGAGGAGCGACGCCGCTGAAGTGGGCGATAAGATTCCGAAAGGCGTTTGGCCGGCAGTTTGCGCAATGTGTTGGCGAGCAGGCATGTCGTCAGGAGCACAACTTTCACTGCGCGTCTGGAAATTGCATTGATTGGGAGGATTCGGCGGTTGCTGCGCACGGCTCTGCATGGCGATTCCACCATGAACACTTCGATGGTGGCCGCTGGAAAAACAATCGCGCGAATTTCATTGACTTCGCGTGCCACTAGTGGTCTTTGCCCACTGCACGGGCGTTGTTGAGAGGATGCCCCTTCGATTTGCTAACGCCACGGTGCACGGCCACGAGGATTTGGGGAATGTGCCCGCGATGGTGGCACACGAAGTAGACCAGCATTCGAGCGACGACAGCTAATGTTTGAGCATTGTCGTTGGTAACGGTGCAGTCGCGAATCTACTGAATGGGACAGTTGCTTCGATGTCTGAAGGGCATGCTTCCACTTGTCTTCCCGGTGCATGGCCTTGACGCTGACAGCTTCAGTCAGTAGCGGTTGGCACCAACGAACTATTTGGACAGATCTGGTCAAATGGCGCCTTCGTGAGTACAATGTGCAAGCAGACCACGTTGCAAAGTACGCATTGAATTGCGCAGGCTGGTGGGGGAACGTCGACCCAGACAGCTTGCGAGAAGCGTTGCGGAGTGGGTGCAACATCCGCTTGTGCAACGACGGCGGCCTTCGGTATCGAAACGGGTCCGCTGGCTGCGTTTGGACATTTTATGGTGTGCAACTGATTTTTACTAATGATTTGACACATCCCATGCTCACGTGCGGCGTCAGACATCCGATGATTTCACGCGTGTCGAACGACTTGATGCGAGCACGCACGGGCCAGCCCCCGTTGACGGCCATTCTGCTGCAGCGCCAGCTCGCTTTATATGGCAAGGCAGCACGTGAATCAGCAGGAGACCCTCTTCGCGATTCTGTTTTCATCCCTGGGACTTTGACGCCGGTCGCGGACGCCTTCGCGAGGAAGGTGGGGGCGCCGCGGCTGGAGTGGGCGAAATTCTTGGGGCCACCTGCGCACGGGGCATGCGGGGAAGGAGACAGATTGCAAGATCTTGTTCAAGATCCTCTTGTTTAGAGACATAGATTGAGAGAGCGGTGTGTGTAGTGTATGAATGTGCGTTTGCCGACGCGCCTTGGGCGCATGGCTTCTGTCTGTCTGTCATGCTCTTGCAAACATCCCACCCACCCACCCGCAACTTGGTTTTCAAAACCTATTAAGACCGTGGCGGTATGTACAACATGGCACTTGGCAACGACACCGACGACGACAGCGACGTCGACGACGACGACGACGCCGACGACGACGACGACGCCGAGGTCTCCGACGACTTCGACGACGACGACGACGCCGACGTCGACGACGACGAACACGACGACGACGCCGACGCCGACGACGACGACGAAGACGACGACGACGACGTCGCCAACGAAGACGACGACGAGGGAGGAGGGAGGACGACGACGGCGACAACGACGACAACGACGACAACGACGACAACGACGAGGGAGGGAGGACGGCGACGACGCGAACGACGAAGAAGGAGGAAGGACGGCGACGCCGACGATGACAACGACGAGGGAGGAGGGAAGACGACGACGACGACGACGACGACGAACGACGACGACGACGACGACGACGACGGCGACGAAATAGGAGGGACGACGACGAGACGCCGACGACGGACGACGACGACGACGAGGGAGGAGGAGGAAGGACGACCACGGCGACAACGACGACGGAAACGACCACGACGCCAAAGAGGACGACGACGACGAACACGAGGAAAAACAGAGGACGACGTAGGCGACGACGACGACGACGACAACGACGCGGGAGGAGGGAGAACGGCGACGACGACGACGACGACGCAAGAGCGCGCGCGCACGCTTTTGTTGAAAACCCGTGTTGCGAATCCTTATGTTTTTGAAATTTTTTTGGGGGGGCACACGATTTTGAAATCCTTCCGAAACCGATGGGTTTTGAAGGCGGCATACGCGCGCGACGACGCGCGCGTCAGCACTCCGACCTTTTTTTCGCAGAGGGTTTTCGCGACGGCACACGCGCAAGGGCGTTCGACAGATTTCGACATGCGCGCGCGAAACCCGTTTGGTAGCATTTGGTGAAAATTTTGAAAAACCTTTTTGGTGTTCTTAAGATTTCGCAAGAGCTCGCGCGTAAGCTTTATTAGCACATCGGGGTTGCGAAACCCAGTGTTTTTGTATGTTTTTTGGAAATTCGATTGCGAAATCGCTCCGGCACCGAAGGTTCTTGAAGGATTTCGGCATGCGCGCGCGACGACGCGCGCGTGTGCACATCGTCCCATGTTTTTGCAAGGGATTCGTGAACAAGTGTTATGTTCGAACAAAACATGTCCCCGCGTATCGCCTTTTCTCACAAGGGAACTTCAGGGGGGGCCGATCCCGGCCCCTCGGGGATAGTGTAAATTCATAGTTCGGATGGACATGTGGTCAGAATCGTATATGGTTTACATACCCGAAAGGGGGGCGGATAACGCCGGGGGGGAGTAGAGTTGATTATGTTTTTAGAAGGGAGAATGGAACAGTGAAGCATGGACATATGCAATGTTGGGGCATACCGTTTTCGAGGTGCGGTGCGCAACGTCTGAATGTGTAGCAGACCGCTTAGTTTTACAAGTATTTGGATTGTTTTCTGGGTAATTGTGCGTGTGTGCTCTGACGCGTGTGTCGTGGCGCCGCGCATTGCGGAAGAGCAGGAGGAGGAGGAGGAGGAGGAGGAGCACGAGGAGGCGAGGAGTGGGAGGGGGGAGCGAGGTTCAGGAGGGGAAAGGATGAGGAGGAAGCGAGGAAGGGGAGGGGATAATTGAGTTCAGGAGGAGGCCGCGACGGACGAGGACGAGGAGGTGAAGGAGGAGGGCGGGAGGAGGACGCGGAGTTGGAGGAGACGGATACGGAGACGGGCGCGATGACGGAGACGGACACGGAGGCGGAGGCGGAGGCAGAGGAGTCCGAGGCGGAGGAGCAGGAATATGAGGAATTGTTGAGGAGGGCGGAGGCGGTGGAGGAGAAAATTCTGGAGGAAGATGGGGCGAGCAAGGGGGGGACTGTTGGTGAAACGCACAGGCGGCCAGACGAATCCTCCCGCCAGCTGCTCACGTTGTTGTTCTCGGATGCCCTTGCCGCGGGGGAGCGCAATTCCTCGACTACCCCGAAGGTGCGCCGCATGTGGCCCGAACGAGAGGATGGCAACCTCGTCGGACGAGCCCTGGACGCTCAGGTGTGCGGCTCTCAATCGAGACGTTCCTTCAGGGGGCCCCTCCCAAGAAGGGTACCCACCCCCAGG